TTGGAATGCTTGCAAACAGATTTTTTTTTTTTTTTAAGTTATTGTTCTTCTTGGGTTAGTTTGCTCCATTTTTAGTTTACATCTACCTCCCCGAGTCAGCAGAACTGTGGAAGAACAGGCTAGATTTTCTTCTGGTACAGGCATTAATATTGGAACTGTTTGTGAAAAGTTTACCTGGAGGCACCCACCAGTAACGTTCAATTACAACTTAATTGCTCATAAATTTTCCTGTATGGGTCAAGGTTACTAAAAGCAATATATGAGACAACGTGCTTTTCATTTTTCACAATGTTCACTCCCTGAACCTCTGAGAGATGACCTTGGTAGTCCTTAACATGGTCTTTCCACTTGCAAAGGGTATTCATACTTTAGAAACTCAGCACGTATTTTTAGTTCCTTCTCAAGAGTTTTGATAGTGTTTTTCTCTTAAATGTTCCTTAAAACTGATGTCAGTGTTTCCTGCTCTGTAATTATTGTTTGCCAACATCAGGAGCAGGTTCCCAAAATAATCTTTCCTCATATGAGTAGATCTTACCCACATGATTTGTTCCAGTGAAATCAGTTATCTGTTTTAAATACTGCCTCTGAGATAAAAAGAGATTACAGCATCAGACCTCCCACAGAATTTGCCTGCCAGCTTAATTGTTTTATACGCATGGGCCCAGCCTGCTCTACCAAGTTTTGCCTGTGTAGCTGTACTGCTTCAAGAGCTGAAATTTTCTTAGGCCTTTGTTGATGGCAAAATCTTAGATGACAATACAACTGTTCTCTCTACCAAGAGGACAACATTTTTGTCTCTGTCATGTGGTAAGGGAGGTAGTGTAGCTGTGCAAATCAAAACAAAAAACAGAAAAAAGAAAAAAAAAAAAGAGGAGAGTAGCTCCTTCCATTAGCACATGTTGCATGCAGTCACCCTGCAGGCAGAGTTATAATGGCAGATGCACTATGGCATAGATGGATCTACATTTGCCCATTTAAAAAAATACTTCTATCTTCCTTGCTGCTGTGTAAAAAAACCAACCCAACAACCAAACATACGGAAAACAAGCAAACAATAAGACAGTTAATTACTTCCTATTACGGGTTGTATACAAAAGAGAGGGCGTGGAGGTGCTCGTGCTTTTGACCTGTTATTTCAGTGGTACGACTGCTGTTCCTCTGCAAATCACTGACTACTTTCCTTTTAATCCATTGGAAACATAAGCTATGAATGTTTATCTGCTGACTAGCAGCTAAGTTAAATGGCTACAGTAGCCTAAGAAACTATTAAGAGAGATAGTAAAAAGGCAGCATCAAGATACACCTGAAAATAAGCTGCTTCTAGCTGTCAGGCAGGGTTTCTTCATAAAGTATCCCAGCCACAGAACCAGCTCAGGGCTGCCTACCACCCTGTACTCTCCTCTCTGGGCTACTGTCTCGTTAAATATAGTTGGGGGCTGCAAAGATGTTACTGGGTGCAAATGGAGTTGTGAGGCGTTTGCCAGGAAGCCCTCTTTACCTACCTTACATCTCGTAATGTCCCAAAGTTTATTGAGCATCATTCAGTTATTCTGCAAATTTGTGAGAATGCAAGTAAGACACTATTTAAACTTGTCATAGAATGAATGGCTTCTGATATGCAAGGGTTATTGGATATGATGTTTTCACATACGTTCATTTTTAGGAAGTGAATTTAATTATAATTGAATGCAGTGTCTTCATTCCCAGGAAATAGGACTTGCATTGCAAGAGCTTTTTAACATCTTCTGAAGTAAATAGCACTAATGAGTCCTAATATTACAATGACTTCTCCATTTATGGCATGTAATAGGCTTTCTCTAGACACCATGTATTAATAACACGGTAATGATGTGGCATTTGGACTGCTTAAATGAAAGTAAGGTCTCCCTGCTGACACGAGGTGTAAGGTGCTTACGTCATCAAAGGTAACGACAAAGTATGAGCACCATGTAAATAATTTTCTATTCCTATCAAAGCTCTAGAAACTGGAAGAGTTATCAGTTCGAACACTGTGTAAACCACCTTGTGGTTAACAGAGAAGGGCAACAAAAATAATCAAAAGTTGTGGACCAGCTTCCATACAAGGAACAAATAAATGAGGTAAAGCTCTTCAGCCTGGAAAATGTGACTGAGGGGAGAAAAGAGAGAGACACAGGGAAGAGGTGACTACAGATAAATTTACTGAAGCTTCCAGTGCAAGAATATCAAATAATAGAAGGAGAGGCAGGTGCTGAACAAACAAAATGAGGTAATTCATCACCGAACTCACACAGGCTATAGAGCACCCTGCTACAGGATGATGCAGATCTCAGAAGCTTACCTTGGTCCAAAATACAAGGCTAATTTGACTTGCTTGACTAATCGCAAAATGTAAATGCCTAGAAAATAATGAAGGCACAGATGAAGAGAAAAATCTGTCAGAGAAAGACAGACATACATTTCCATAAGTCTTTGTCTAACCATCTGATTACTGGCAAAACTAGAGCAAACTTCTAAAAGTACTTTAACAGATTAACCAAAATGAAAAAGCTCCTATATAAATTACTTGCTGTCTTCTCCCAATTCTAGTTATTACTGACAAGAAACTGGAAAGAATACCAGTAATTATATAGAAACTGAAAGAAGTTTGATATATTATTTCTGGTTTTTAATAATTTCTTGAAATATTTTATCTTATGCTCTTATATGCAAACCAAATGGTCTCATGTTATAAGATGTTTTTGTTAAGCTCAGTGACATTTTTTCTAGGCCAGACGAAATAGTATTGAATACTCGTTGGGAAGCTATTGCTGTATTTCCCTTGATCTGTCAGGACATGGTATTGATGCATTTCTCTATGTGGCTTTGATAGAATATTGCTGATTTTAATCTATTGTATTTAATGTATTTGCATACCCAGTGACTGAGAGGTCACAGAGTAATGGCAATATTGACAGGTCTGGTTCTTAGCCCTTGGCCGTAAGGTGAGCTTTAATGATGAGCATTTGCAAAAGCTGGACTGATGGGAAGCTAATAGACGTTGTTCTCCATTGAGCAGAGACCGAAAGAAAAATCTTGGCATTGCAAAGGCGTTTACATGGATAAAAAGCACCACTGTGCTTGCTGGGGGAGAGGAGGGGGGGGGAAGATATCTTCCTGCAAACCAGACCTATTTTCTTCAAGTAATCTCCAAGGAAACAGCCTCTGCCAAGCTAGGATCTGATTACCAGTTGCAGGCCTCAGACCATAGCCATTATTGTTTTAACATTTCTGCCTTCCTCTTTATCCCAGCGGGAACCAGGCCGTATGGGCTGCCGTGTAACTTGACCTTGCTTGGAGATAAAAAGACAGGTTAGCACACAGCAATCGTAAAGCCAGAAGCAAAAAGACAGTATTTAGAAAATAAAGGAAGGAGCTGGCATGGTATGATTATGTGTAATGTTCTACACTGTGCGGCGTGGGTGGCCCGATGAACAGTTCCCATCTACAAAACCCAGGCAGAAACTTGCGACTTGGTCATAGTTTCTCCATTTTTAACTTTATCTGTGCAAAGATGACGTGATTTTCATCACTAAGATACTCATGATGATGATTTCCTGCAACATTTGAGATTATGAGAAAAGGAAGGAAAAAAAAGAAATCTACATAAAATTTTAGTGCTTTCAGTAAACAAAATGAATAGTAAATCAGCAGAAAGAGCTGGATATGAATCTTTAAATCTTTGTTGCTGTTTTACTACTGTCCTCTGAGCTTCCCAGGCAACAAGCCAGTGAGCCCAGAGGTCAGCAGCAATTAGGCATGACATGTCTTAAAGTGTCTTAGGGATGCTAAAGAAAATAAATGCTCAGTGATTAAGCATTCAGCATCTAAAAGCTGAAAAAAAGTGTAAAGGAGAAGAGAGATTCTGTTACAATCAACCATGGGTGCTCAAACTGGTATGACAACTGTACATCACGCAAGTGGTCACTGTCAAAACCCAACAAAGCCACAGCTGCAAGGCCATGAGGTCCCAGCTAAATCATGGTGGAGGCAAAGTAAGTGACAGATTTCCTTTGGCTTGTCTCAACCACCACCTCATCTCACAGAAACGAAGCAAACCAAAACTCAGCTAAGATTTCGTAAAGATTTCAAGCCAAGAGCAGTAGAAGTGCGTTTTTTCATATCAGACCATATGGCAGATAATAAATTTCTGCAGTTCTGATTGCTGATAACTTCCTACATAGGCATGGGCAGAAAATACAATTTCTATAATCAAGTTTCCTGACAGATAATGCCACATCATTCTTCACGCGTCTTCACTCTCTCTGTTATATTTTTAGGTTATAAGATCTTCAGAGCAAGTGCCCTTGTGGTGCTCAGATCACAGTTAGAGCATTTTAGTGCTATTACAGTATGTGTCAGACCGGAGAAAGGAGCTGCAGCTCAGTTAGCTCTAGTTAGGTGGGACTTCTGGTTGCATTCTTGCCTTTATTTTGAATGGCTCCTCAAAATTATACCAGATTCTGATTAAAACCACAACAAAACAACCTGTAGTCCCAGTTACCTGTACTGATGTCAGTGGAAGGAACTGGTGCTTGTGAAGAGGTGGCTCATTTGCAGCATTCTGAATCCCAATTAGTTTTTCCAGCTATTGCTTGCAGGTAGCAGAATACATTTTGCATCTTGGACCTTTGGTGTCGTTGAGACCAAACCAAGGATTAAGCTGCTTGGGCCATCAAACCCGACTTTGTTCTGCAAACAAATTCTGAAAAATTACATACCTGCACCCACCTCAAAAATGCTTAAGCTTCTCAACAGAGACAAAGAATTAGGTTGCATGATGCGTTTGGAAAGCTTTATTTTCCTCGTCATTTTACCTTGTGCGAATTGTGTGTGCTCAGGGGTGACCAAAAAGCAAAAATCCCCAGAGAACAAATCAGCATTAGGCCTGGTTACAGCATCCTGCCACGGTTAAATGGTTCTTTTTTAACTGTTGATGGAAAAAATAAATTGACTTCCTTTGTGTTTTTTCCTCCTTCCAGACTCTGACGGCACCTGCTCCATTTGCAGATGAAACAAGCTGTCAGTGCCAAGCCCCCCATGAGAAGCTAACCATTGCACAAGCCCGCCTGGGAACACCAGGTATGTGTAGAGAGCTGCATCAGTAGGGCCATGGGTGCTCCCAAAGCACAGGCTCTCCCTTGCAAACATCTGCCAATGCTCACTTGTGCCTTCCACTTGGAACTAGAAGGGTCAGCCTGGTATCTGGTTCTATCGGGTAATGGGGAAGAAACTAGCAACTACAGGACCATTATCTTCTGTTAGAGAAACAACAAGAGAAAACATTTCAAGTTAGAGTTTGATGTTTTCGTGGATGTCTACATGTTGGTCAGAAGGAAGGCTTGCCAGCCTACTCCAGCCAGCCTGAAAATTATGTTGTGTAGTGGCTACCTCCTGGATTCTCTTCCTGTACTGCCTCTGTGTGCTGGAAAACTCTTCTTTCACTGACGGTCTTGTTGATCACATCAGACCTTAAGCAGCCTTAAAGACCATTTGCCCTTTGCAAACAAACCATGCCCAATTTCTTTATCTGGGCATTTGTAATTGGGCTGAGGAAACAGGATGATTTCACATAAAGTCTGAAAGACATACTTCAGCCCCCCTAAATTCCAAGAGATTATTTTTAAAAAGCCTTTATTTACTTATTTTACTAATTTAAAATAAGCTTTTGAAGTACGTACACTGTATAGGGGTAAGCCGCAGCTTTCCAGTCAGCTCTGCAAGGAACAATGTTTTCCCATGGAGCCTTGGATATCCTGACAGCAGAGACATCTCTCTGTAGCCCTGAAGCACAGTCCATGGAGGTTGGAGCTCTGTTGCGCTCATCTCCGCTGTCCTTTTGCTCCGAGGTGGCACAGCTGTCAGGCATGTCATTTGGTAAAGCAAGTCCTTTTTCTATCCAGAGGGTGCTGCTGCAGATGTCGTACAGAAAGCAAGAGTTACAAGGGTGGTAGCAGGAGGATGGTGAGAAAAAGAAATGCTAGGCTTGTTAGAGAAAAGAGTTTGGGGGAAGTATGAAAAAAGGGAAATGAAAGGTTTATGTGGAAGAAGTAAACAATACATTTTTACAGTGGTAAGCTATGGAAAACAAAGTCACAGAAAAGAGGGGAGGAAAAGGGAGATGATGGGAAAAAATAAGGGAAAAAAACCCCAAAAATCCAGAAGGCAGAACTGACTAGTAATGCAGAGAGAAAAGAACAAGACATATGGTGGAACTCCGAATGAGGCAGGGAGATGACATTTTTGCTAAATTAGAATACGGGGATGATGGATGATAATAAATAGGCTAAGTCTGAGAGAAAACAACAGAGAGTACAGAGAAGAACAAGTAACAAACAGGATAAAACACTGCAAGTTAACCCATGGTGCTTTTGAATATCAGAACTGGGGTAAATCGCCACAACCATCTGATCTGGGAACAAAAACCTGTCCAGTAGAATTAAGTGCAACTTGTTTTGGGTCTGAAAAATCACTGTTGTGTTTCTTTCTCCACAGTTGACAGACCTGTCAGAGTGTATGCAGATGGGATATTTGACCTCTTCCACTCTGGCCATGCTAGAGCTCTTATGCAAGCCAAAACTCTATTCCCAAACAGCTACTTACTAGTAGGAGGTAAGATCAGTTATTTATTGCACTGGATTTTTGCTTCGGTGCTTCAGTATCAGAGAGTTATTGCTGTGCTTGCACCCCCAGCTGTTTATACGCCATGACTTTGAATGCTACTTTCATTCTGGAGGCTTTCTATAGGCGATTTGCCTTGAATTACATCTTACAATTGCATCAATTAAAGTAAAAGTCACATTCTGCCCTCGGCAGCACAGGCACAATTCCCATTCTAGTTAAAGCAGGTGCCTGCATGACTCTGAGCTTAGAATAGCTCCATATGAATAATTTACCTTTTTGAGTTATTCGCTCAAAATTGTTCAAAGATGGAGATGAGTGAATGAGATCAACCACTCATTTATTTCTGGCTCCTCGGTCCCTCTGCCAGCCAGGCACAGCCCACGGCCCCTGACTGCCAGGTTTGTACTGTGTGTGCAGACCCAGCCTTCAACATCAGCAGAGAAGCTAAATCCGGCCCGTTATCAATGAAGACCCAAATGTAGGTCATGATCTGAACGTAGTTTTCAGCTCACAAGTGTCCCCGGGCAGGTTACTTTCTTATCAGTTTTTTTGCTGTGAATATCTTGTGGTTTTTGCTGTGTGGCTGGCTAACAGCTGTTCAGCAGTTGGTACGTGCCGGAGGAGTCACCGGAGGGTGGATCTTTCCCGCCTAGCTGGATGTGCCAGCCCTGCTCTCGTGAGGCCTCATAAACATGCATTTCAGTTCCAGTTTCCCTGCCCCTTTGGGGCTGAGATATACCTCGCATAAACATTTCACAGTGACATTCAGCCACTCAAATGTTTACAGCAGTGGTGATAAAGCAAATATGAATGCAGCCTTCAGACACTTCATAAGATGCATTATTTTGCCTCTTTGTCCCAAATCAGTTGAAAGGAGGGGGGGGGGGGAAGACCCAACAAGGAGGAAAAGCAAAATCTCCTTATAAACACACTTTTTGGTTTTACTCTTATCAATTGTGGCAATTCCCATGGAGCTTCCTAGGAGGGAAAGGAGACATCCCTTTGTTACGAAGGAAACATTTAGGACTCTCTTGTCTTCCTGCTGAGCCAGGTAGCTTACAGAAGAAGCAAGTGGAGGTGCAAGACTGTGAGGTTTTAAAAAAAATGCAAGTTATGTAGGTTGCGTTGCTGCTTTTAAAGGAGTGGGGGGGTCCCAGATCAGGAAAGGAGCTCTGGGGCTCCTTTGAAATTCATGGCAGAGCTTCACTTTGCCCTTATATTTGGAGTGAAGGACAAAGCAGACAGCACTCATCAGCACCTTTTCCCAGCAAGGCACTGTGTCTTAGCATGTTTAAAAAATGGGCACCTTTCCACACCCACATACAATTTGTGCTGCAAAAGCACTGGTGTCATGTGTCTTTGTGGGCACCACAACCAACCCCTTTTATTTCTCATTGTGAAGACAATTATTTGGAGCTAAGATTTTTTTTTTAAAAATAGACATTTACACCTTCCCAAATCAGTCATTAAAGCAGAATGATGGAATCAAAAGGAAATACAGAGATATTGTGTCTGTACTGTACATGAACAAACAGTAATCAAAAAATAAAATCAAACCTTTCTACAGAATTCAAGCAAAAATTACTGTTTTCCAATAATTTTAGTAGACCCTTTCTTCCAGGAGAGGGTAGCTTTAAGATGACATAAAGGCTGTAAAAAAAATATAACTACAATCTCAGAAGGGATCTTTCTACTGAAAATGCTTTGATCTCCATTAAATTTCTTGTCAGCAGGCATCAAAAATGACATAATAGGATAGAGCACCATTTTGCTAGCTGAAATTCATATGTATATTATTATCTGGCTTTGAATTTTGCACAAACTCCAGGGCTATCTAAGCCTTCCTACATTTTTCCTACTTTAAAGGTCCTTAATGATGATCACAGCAAGACCATCTATTTTAGATTTCAAAAAAAGACTGCATCTTTGCCAGCACCTTACCTGATAGGTCGATGTTTTCAAATTAGAAAGCAGCAGCAGCTGTAGGCCTGCTCTCACACTTCCCTGCAGCACTAATAATGTTGCATTATCATTTGTCAAGTACATTTACTATTTGTCCTGGTGTCACTGACAAGTGACATCCAAAAGCACAGGTTTGACCTGTGCTGAGGGACAACCACTGTCAACCCAGCTATAAATGGGTATCACGTTATTCCATGTGGGATGTCAAATGACTATTATAGCTATAATATTGGACAGAGTTACAATTGTGGGGACAGGTCACAGGGTTTTACACAATGTTACGTGGCTAGAAAGATAATACCTAACTTTTATAGTCCTCTGGTAACATGGGTGTTGCTTCCCCTCATTTTAAAAGCAATGTGAGAAAGTATTGGCACATCCAGAGTTAAAGATGCAGGATTTCTGGACTTTTAACTCTGCTCATTCCACTAAAGCATACGGCTTCTCCCAGTCCTTTCCACGGGGCTTCCTTCTGCAATTTCCCATTTCAACATGGCACAAGCCTTACTTCTCTTTCTATGAAATCTGCTGAACTCAAAGCTAAACTCAGAGACAGATTCCTATAAAATCTACCGTGACTTGTTTTCCATCAGTGTTTAGTTAGTGAGAAACTGTTCTGCTGTGATTGAGAGCTTTGTTGGCAAATTCATCATTTAAAGCGTTGTTTACATAAGACCAAAAAGCAGGAACAGGAGGCCCAGAGAGGCTGAGGGATCTCCATCTTTGGAAATTCAACTGGACATGGCCCTGAGCAACCTGCTGTAGTTGAGCTTGCTGTGAGGAGGGGGATTGGATTAGGTGATGTCCAGTGGTGCCTTCCTTCCCACCTTGACCATTTTGTGATACATGAAGTTTGCAAGCGCTCTGTGATTGTTGACATTGCACTTTTTGATTGTTTATAAAGCATTGGCCATCGACCCCAAAATTTCACAGCCTGTGAAATCCCCACTTATTATGGGATTGAGTTGCCTCAACATGTGCATACCATACAACCTGAGATGTCCTACAATATCGCACTTGGGCTCTGCCTGCAGCTTCAGAAAGGGAAGGATCTCTCAGAAGTCTATGGTTATACTGGCCAACCCTGAGCAGAACTCTAAGATGCCCTGAAGCACCCCAAAATTAGCTAGTAACTAAGTGCTTAATGGAATTATCAGGAAATAATCAACTGCTGGTCATACTAATGCTACTAATTGTGGAGCCATTTTGTTGATACTTCCATATTTTAGTTTGCAGTGATGATTTAACTCATAAATTCAAAGGCTTCACTGTGATGAATGAAACTGAGCGATATGAAGCCCTCAGACACTGTCGTTATGTGGATGAGGTCATCAGAGATGCACCCTGGACACTGACACCCGAGTTCCTTGAAAAACATAAGGTACATTTCTTCCCTTATCCCTCCTTTCCCCTTTGTAGACTGACAGTTGAGAATAAACAGGAAGTCTGTGAAATTCTATTAGCTGGAGCAAATTATTTATTTCAGTTAATTCCAGTCACTGAAATTAGGTACATGGCATTGCTTGCCTCCATCTTTGTCAGAGAATGTTTTATTTGTCTTGCCTTTTTTTTCCTCAATATGCTGGGATGATTTCTGTAGTGGGATTTTTGAATAGCAAAATAACACTGAAGAATTCTTCACAAATTAACTTTCAGGAAAGGAGATCATGAACCAGGAAAGTTATCACATAGTGACTAAAGTCCTGTTAAAGTCCTGAATTAAAGGCATGTTTCTTATTAACATCAACAGGTGCAATAATTGGCCAGAAATACATAAAAATGTCATGCGTCCTCTAAAAGGCAGGACAGAATTTCTTACATGCTATTGACTTGCAATCTATATGAATCTTAAGAAAAGCATAATTAACTAGGATGTATTTTAGTGTCCACATCACTGGGTGACGAAAGGAGAGCTTGACAGTACTAGGTATGCATGTATATATATATGCACAGCCCCAAGGAGGCAGAATCAGTAATCTTGCCTCCATGGTTTTGAAAGCCAAGGCTTTGCCATTTGACTTAGCTCTTTCAGTAGCAATAAAAGCAGGAACAGGTGGAACAGGTGTCTTACGTTTTCTGCAGAATATCACACAGAGCCAGCCAGAGTGATGTGTTAACAGCAGTGCTTCTGGAGACAAGCTTTCTGTTCTTTCGTAATCGATCTTGCAACATAGCAGTTGTAGGCCTAAATCTAGTGCAATATTCTAGGTGATGGCTTTAGGATGAGAATGTCAAAAGCAATTCAGCTGAAGTCAAGAAAAGAGATGATCCTCCACAACGACCCCCCACTGAACCAAAATTCAGTGATGGTGGCATGTGATTCTTCTTCTGTTCACTGGCAGATTGACTTTGTAGCCCACGATGACATCCCGTACTCCTCCGCTGGCTCGGATGATGTATACAAACACATAAAGGAGGCAGGTAAGGGCAGCTTTACCTTTTTAGCACCTTTTCAGCCTCAGCTCAAATTCTTTTCCTGCCTTTTGACCACAGCTGCTGGCAGAGAAGCAGCAGAGGTAATATCATATTGTCTTATACCCTGTGGTGGGTTGACCCTCTCTGGACACCAGGTGCCCACCAATGCTGCTCTATCACTCCCCTCCTCAGCTGGACAGGGGAGAGAAAATAGAATGAAAGGCTCGTGGGTCAAGATAAGGACAGGGAGAGATCACTCACCAATTACCATCATGGGCAAAACAGACTTGACTTTGGTAATAAATTAAACTAATTTCCCCACCAGAGTAGGATAATGAGAAATAAAACCTAACTCTTAAAAACCCCTTCCCCCCCCCCCTCCCTTCTTCCAGGGCTCAACTCCAATCTGAATTTTCTCTACCTCCAGCGCAGGGGAATGGGGAATGGGGGTTGGGGTCAGTTCATTACACCTTGTCTCTGCTGCTCCTTCCTCCTCAGGGACAGGACTCCTCACTCTTCCCTTGCTTCAGCGTGGGGTCCCTCCCACGGGAGACAGTCCTCCATGAACTTCTCCAATGTGGGTCCTTCCCACGGGCTGCAGTTCTTCACAAACTGCTCCAGTGTGGGTCCCTTGCCTGGGCTGCAGTCCTTCAGGCACAGACTGCTCCAGCGTGGGTCCCCCACGGGGTCACAAGCCCTGCCAGCAAACCTGCTCCAGCATGGGCTCCTCTACCAACGGGGCCACAGGTCCTGCCAGGAGCTTCCCACGGGGTCACAGCCTCCTTTGGGCATCCCCCTGCTCCGGTGTGGGGTCCTTCCTGGGCTGCAGGTGGAGATCTGCTCCCCCATGGACCTCGCAGGGGGACAGCCTGTCTCACCGTGGTCTTCCCCACGGGCTGCAGGGGAATCTCTGCTCCAGCACCTGGACCACCTCCTCCCCTTCCTTCTTCACCTACCTTGGGGTCTGCAGGGTTGTTTTCTGTTACATGTTCTCACTCCTCTCTCCAGCTTCAGTTTTTTGTTGTGCAGCAACTTTTCCCTCTCCTTAAATGTGTTCTCCCAGAGATGCTACCACCACTGCTGATGGGCTCAGCCTTGGCCAGCAGTGGGTCTGTGTTGGAGCTGGCTGGCATTGGCTCTGTTGGACATTGGGGAAGCTTCCAGCAGCTTCTCACAGAAGCCACCCCCATAGCCCCCCCCTGCTACCAAAACCTTGCCACACAAACCCAATACACACCCTAATGGTAGATACTGCTGACTTCAGCAGAAAGATTAACTTTGTAAAACCACAAAGGATGTCCTTGGCTGAATTCCTGCCATAACCCTCAGGAAACCATTCAGATCTGTCATGAAAGAGTCCTATCTGGGTCCTTAAAATAATTTTAGGGTGCTTGACTAAGAGCTTTGAAGGGATGAAAATGAGTTTAGTTCCCACAGCAGCCGAGCCAGCTTCAGTTGTTTGTTGATAACCGTGAACTGAGGACTCCTTGACTCAGCCCAGTCCTGAACATGGGCAAGCACAGGCAGCCTTCAGGAGTCATTAGGATCCACTTCTGATTTGCACCAAGGGTTCTTTTCACTACACTGGCAGAGGGTTTAAGTCGGCATCAGAGTAATTCATTTGCCATGACTACCATATTACATTGAACACAAACATGCTGAAGTCATCAGGAGTTTGTATCTCTTCAGTTGAAGAAAGCTGAATTAAATCTGAGGAAATAATGTTAAGCCGCTGTTTGCCAGCAGCGGCTATCCTAACGCAGTGAACAATGCGGGAGGAGGAACTAATCACACCTCTCTTCTCCTGCTCCCTGGAGGTGCTGCTCTGAAGCCTGGTGAATCCATCCTCTTCCTGGTCTACATAAACATGCTTATTGGAGGCTTAAAAAAATTCTAGAACAAATCTACCTGATGGTAATTTGTCACGCAAATTGACCTTCTCATGCTATACAATGACAGGAGACAACCAGGTATTGACCTGATCTGAAAGAATAAGCTTTTTATAGCAGCAGTTCTTAATCTTTTTCCACTAGCAAACCTCACTGTGGTGTCAGACTCACAACCTTCCTTTGGGAACTGCTGTTCTACAGTTTCAGAGCCAGCACCAGCTTACTTCACTAGGCAAAGGAACAAAAACATACCTTTGGTAAGGACGGGTCACCAAGGGACATCCAGCGTATGTGCTGGACAGGCAGCTATTTTACTTTTCTTCTGTAAGGTGGGGAGTGCACAGGACAACGTGACAGCAGCCCTTGGCATCACTGCATCATTAGCACACTGAGCTAGAGAGTGTCCAAACCTGGCACATCCTTCTCTGCCCTTGTTGGGTGCGGGTCAGTGCGCACGTGTCCCGACGAGAAATTCAAGTGTTGCACAAGAGAGTATGGATTTACAGCTTCAGGGACCTGTGGTCTGTCCTGTGTCTATCGCTGCTGGAGAAGTGACTTTAATCTTTTATGGTTGAATTTTGTAACGTATAAACTGGGAATAATGTTACCTTATTTTTGAGATCTAGTGCTGTAATAGTCCTAACACTCCAGACCAACGTTATTACAATAGTGATTTCCCCCTTTCTCCTAGGGGTTTTTATTTTAAATAGACCAATGCTGTGGATGCATTGGTGCATTTTCCTTAGTTCCAGTACTCCCATTTTCCCACATCAGGTTGTTGGGAAGCAGAGAAGCAGACTGGAATTGTGGAGCTCCTTGTGTAGATTCCTATGGGCTCCCATTTCTCCGCTCCCTTCAGTAGGTGGGAGGGAGTAGGGATAAAGGTGAGCTGGGTAAGGGTGTGCTGACTAAACCTCTGCACATCTGTGAACAGTAACTTGGAAAACATGAATCAGTCTAACACATGAAGCATACGAAAGCAAAATCAGTGACTAAAGGTAATGTTCTCATTCGTGGGTTTGTGCATCTACCTCAAAACAATTCTGCTTTTGGCTTGGCAAGGGTAGGATTTGGATTTTGTTCATGTATTCTTGTAGCTCCTATCTATAAAGGTTTCTGGCTCAAAGTGGGTTTCATTGCTTCCAAAAATAGTTTTCTAAGTGACTGCTGCAAGCCTGAAAAGCACAATCAGGGAAACCTCTCTGCTCATGATTAAAATAATCTATTTTTTAGCAGAATATTAATTAGAGATCAGAAAGAAAAAAATATCAAATAGCAGTTAGTCACAAGAGGCTGCTAAGCTTCTTGATTCCTTCCCCAGATCTTTTTCTAACCCTGTGAAATTAGCTAGCAATGCCTGCCTACTTCAAGCAATCGTGTGAGGATTAATTTGCCAGCAGCTATAGCACCCTTTTAAGACAAAGCACTACTTTTTTTGCAAAACCACTTCCAGTCATCTCGCAGCTCACTCTCATCAGCAGCTTGATGTTGCAATTATGTATATCTGATAGTAGCAATTTTTTGTAGCCCTGAATATCTACTAAACCAAGGTGTGCTAGCACTCTGCTATTATTGCCTTTGTGACTTGCATTAGCAGTTCAAGTGACCCTGTCTTGATGAGGAGCAATTAAAAAGCAATCTATACTTCAGCTGTGTTGAGGAAAACTACAAGCAGTCTTAATAAATGGTCAGTTTTCTTAGGAACAGATCTGTCGGGGCAGGGAGAGTGGTGATGCAGCCACTGACATGGCCAGGCAGACGTGAAATGGGGTCTATGGAGGCTGATACCCTCAGTCTCCATGGTACAGCCGTGTTTATTCACACTACCGTTACACTTCGCCTTCCTGTTACAAGCTACTGGCACCTCCAGGGTGTTTCCCAGTTATTGTAACACACCTTTTACCTGAAGGCGCTTCCTGGCTTTGGCCAAGGCCAGAGGCTGCTCTGTTTTACTCAGCAGAGTAAAGACCATCTGATGGTGCAGCACAGGAGGGGAGGGGAGGGTGGAAACATGCAGGAGAGCAGCAAACAGCTTTTCAATAGCAGGGGTGGAAGCCAACCCCCCCACTCTTTCATACAACATTAAATAAGGGCTACGCGCATGGAAAGACCTGCTCAGTAAATTGCCACAACTGCGAGGTTTAGCCTTCCCGGCTCGGGAGCCCCTGCCAGTCTAATAACTTCCACATCACGGCTGACGCTGTGAACAGGGCAAGTTACAGCCTTTCTGAAGACTTGAGGAAAAATGAACGGTATAGCAACCTAGTGCCTTCCCTAAGCTCACACAGGGACATCAGGAAGAACTAGGAATAAGACAGGCAGAATTGCAAGTCTCTTACCGTTGGTCAGGCATTTTTGTGTTCATCCTCAGCTACCTACCGCAGCGCCTGGTCCTGCCGTGCTTTCTCAGAGGGCTTTCTTTTCCCACTTTGCTCAGGAATGTTCGTACCAACGCAGAGAACCGAAGGTATCTCCACGTCGGATATCATCACAAGGATCGTCCGGGACTATGACGTGTACGCCCGGCGCAACCTCCAACGAGGATACACCGCCAAAGAGCTGAATGTTAGTTTTATAAATGTAAGTATACCAACCTGCATTTGCTTCCGAAACACTCTCTCCTAGGACCCTGAATGTAGAGTAAAGGTTAAAGGAGATCTTCCTCCTGCTGCTTTTAAAATAGCTGGGAAGAACTTAAGGTAAAAGAAACTGGAAAGCTGAGGGTAGTTTTAATTGCTCCTATTAATTAGCAGCTTTGTTTCCATCTTATGCTTTCACATTTGTAACAAAGCTGCTGCTCCTCCTTCTTCCTTGAGTTGTAGGTGACTTAACAACACACTAAGAAGGAGCCAGCCCCGCTCCCCCGCAGGCTTCTCAGCCACTCACCCAAGACACAATTTCTTTCTTTATTCCCATTGTGAGAAGGCAGCACAGAGAGCAAAGATTTTGATAGCCAAACTTTCTGTACAATGCGACAGGATAAAAACAACAACAACAAAAAACCCCAACTGCTGAGCAGTGAGATTACTAGAGAAAGCTAAAATGTTTTTTAAAAGACAAGGAAATGCTTTAGGAAGCTGGTACAGAAATGATGCTGAAGAGCTCAGAAGCCACAATAGGTAGGGCAAAAGCATCATTTGAAAGGATGGCTCAAATTATTCAGCTTCCACATACAGAACTGCACCTTATCCTCCAGCGATTAAACACTTAACAGAAACAAAAGTTTATTTTCCTTCACTATTTCAAGTCTTAAGGCCTCAAGATAACCCACACAACTGAAACCTCTCTTGTGACTGGGCTGGCTCACAGCAGGACTTGCCACCTCCCTCCCTGGAGCTGGGAACACCCCCTTGTGAAGGACTCAGTTGTGTCATTTCATGAGGGTTTCGTTTACTTGTTTCTTATTTTGAAGTCTGGCAGATAAATCACAGATCACAGGGCATAAATATTTATGTCATTGTGCTTTTTTTTTTTTTTCAGTCTTCTACACCTCTAAAAAATCCTGCTTGTAAGTACTCCACCCAGAAGGATCACTATCGCAAATACCTGTTAAATTAAGGCATGCTGGATGCCTTGGGGGTTCTCAAATTTATCCTTTAGCAACTTTGACATTAAGATACTGTTGCATAAGATATGCTCCCCCCAGTCTCAGACAGTGATGTATCCTGAAGTCCCTCCTGGCATCTGGTTATTTAGCTTATAGTAATTTAAATGCAGAAATACTAATTTGCACCAGAGACTGCTTGTGTTTCAAAATTAAAAACACAGGATTTCACCAAGGATTTCACCGAAGCACAGGTTTCCTTGTTAAAGGAAGGGTTGATCACGTATTAGGTGCAAAGTGAGTTCGGTTTCTTTGGACACTGAGGATTTTGTTTGGCCTTGTGGCTGACAAAGACGGTTCTTCTAGTGATTCATGAGCTAGAATAAAACCCACCTTAGCACTAAACAATATTTGCTTTAAAAGTAAATTCAAGTGCCCGTTAAATGAAGTTCACAGGAAATTAAAAGCCGATAGTGGTCTGTGCTTCTACAGAGACCATTACACTTTCAAGGGCACAGCGTTAGTTAGCTGGATGTACCGTACATTTGCAGAGCACAGACACGTTTCGGGACAAAAGTGCTTTAACCCTGGAGTATTTTAGAAGCTAGGCCCAATGAGAGCTCCCTAACATTATCTGCTCTGTCCCTCTCTTTTTCTGTGTGACTTAGCATTTAGGAGTTTGCTGGCCCCAAGCCACTGGCCTACACACATCTCTGTGACAGCCTGAAGCTCCTGTATTAAGCCAGGCTCGGAGGTGAAGAGAGTTTTCCTTCTGCTCTGCAGAAATCCAACCAAAGAGGCATTTTGGTCCCCGTTAACATCCAGGCTGGGAAGTCAGCAGTGGGCTGCATTTGCTAGGAAACCCAGGGAGATTTGCCTTTTGCTTACTGCTAAGTTTGACCTGTTAATTTCTCACTTGTATCCTTCATAAGACTCATATAATTTTCAAAGTGCATTCAGCTTGAAAATATGGAAAGATTCGTGTAGTGGATTAGAGTAATCGCACAAGACAGTCTTTTCAATATGTACCTTCTGCACTTCGTTCCACAAATGTTAAATTTGCATTTATAAAAATAATGTGGGAATAGTTAACCAAGGCCATATGTATTAGGGTACATTAATGCAATTTTTTTCTTCTCAACTGCCGGTGGCTGATTATTTCCAAGTCCCTACATATTAATCTCTGTCCACACTTTTAAAACAGGAGAAGAAATACCGCTTTCAAAACCAAGTGGATAAAATGAAAGAAAAAGTCAAGAATGTGGAGGAAAAATCAAAAGAATTTGTTTACAAGGTGGAAGAGAAGAGCCATGACCTCATTCAGAAATGGGAAGAAAAGTCCAGGGAATTTATTGGCAACTTTTTAGAGCTGTTTGGACCCGACGGAGCCTGGGTAGGTATTCTGCCATCCCAGGAAGTCTGAGCAGTTTTTATTTCTCCTCTGTAACACAGATCAAGAGCAGATTCTTTTGCTGCAGTCTTTGTTTTGAAAGCCAGCACAGTAGGATAACAACAAACCTGCTTGCTAAATCCGATAATGCATGCCAATACTGCAGCGGGAGGATTTGCCACTTCTGGCTGTTGCTTCTTTGGGATAAATTGTGTCTTTTGTGAAGGTGCAATGCTGAATGTGATACTGCATTCAGTAGAGCTGCATAACAGCAACACACAAGCAAAAAGGCTAATACAGTCTGTTCTCCCCATTAGCACTAAATGGGGTGCCACACAGATATCAGGGAGAAATTACACACTGGAGGTGGTGAGGGAAACAGGACCATTGAAAAGTTTTCAATAGTTCTCTTCATGCTCTGTACTCAGCAGTAGAAGATGACATTTTTCTAACTTTAAAAAATACTGATTTAAAGTTCCAAGAAATGAGTTTACATGTTGAGTGGCCAGGCTCACCTGACTGACTGCAGGGAAAGCTCACGTGAAACAGAAGCACTTTCAAAGCTCTCCTCAGTACATGCCAGCTCCACAGAGCCCATTTACCAAAGGTCCCCAGGTGCCTTGGAAAGGCAGCTGAGAGTCTGCAACAGCATCCTTCTGGGGAGAAACCCCAGGGCTGTACCCACTCAAACCAAAGTCATGCACTGAGCAAGTGGTGAGTTGGTGACACTTCAGAGCCCCAAAAGAGTCCCAGCCCCTATCTTTGAGTTCTGATAGCTTACCGAACCTTGAGAGGCTTTGTTTTCTGGTACAACTTCCCTTTGCTACATTGAAAGCAGTAGCAAAGCGTAATTTGACTGCAGGATTTATCATCTGTTTGAACAGACCTTCCCAGACCTTTCTTGTTGGGAGTCAGTCCTTTTCCAACAAGCTCCCTGTGCAGCTGCATTCTGGTAAAAGCCCAGGCACCAGCCAGACCCTCCAGTACAGCCATCAGCTTGGACATGCTGCTCTCGTCACAAGCTCCCAGTGAGGCTTTTGCTCAGTTCGAAACATGAGCAAGCACAGAGGAGAGCAGCGAGCAGCGCAGGGTGAACTGAGGGGAGCAGAGTAAGAACTAGAGAAATAATCCCGCAGAAAAGCAGGATGCTTCAGAGGAACGTTTTCAGACCATGGCGCACAGACAGTTCAGCAGCTCTCTCCTCACTTGAAAGCAGACCCTTTGCGAGAGGTTTATGCAAAGCTTTAACTGCTCGTGGATTACAGTTTGAGGCAAAATGTCAAAAGAGGCAGCAAGCCAGAAAAAACAGTTTAGGACTAGCATGAAGCAGACACTACTGGAATATTTTTAAGGAGGCAACACACACGTAATGTTCTCTCAGGTTACTCTTACCAGTTCATACCTGAACAACTTCCCGTCACAAAAGGTACCTTCTCTTGATCTCAGCAGAGGTTTTGTTTATAAACAAAGCCTCAGGAAGAGTCACAGACCCCGGGTGAATTAAGTAGCCCACATCACAGCCACATCACAACTCAGGGCCAGCAAAGCATGTGGTACCTGCCTCTTACTGGAGTTCTCATCTTTTCTCAGCCATGACTTGTGTTGATTACCACCCAGTTGAGAAAAGCCTAAAATTAGGCTGTGAAGGCTTCAGAACAGAGACTGCATCTTTATAATCCCCTTATAGCTGTGCCTGTCCCATGCAAAGCTCTCTGAGTAACACCTGTCCCAGCCACAATCAACAAATACTTTATTTAGCAATTTGTTCATTGACAGTATCATTTTCCTTGAAGAGGGGAAGAGGGTAACTCTTCTGATGAAAAGCCCAGGTTTACCTGCACTGACCACATCCACACGAAGCTTCCTCTGTAAGTTATTCTCCATAGAGCTTGGCGAGCGTTTCCCATCTGGGATGGTCCTGTGGCCATAGGTGCTGAATAAATAAAACTAATGCTAACAGAGCACGTGAAACCCCCAGGAGGTGAGATGAGCTTGGCTGTGCCGAGAGGAAAAAAATTTAAAAGCCTTGATCCCGTTCCCTTGCTCTACCCACTCAACACTGCACACCAATGGCATTTTTAAAAACCCTTTGCTGATAAACATTCTACCAAATTCAATTAGGGAAAAGCTGCTCTGCAAAGGTCTTTTAGGAACTGGAGGTGGCCTCCTGCTTCCTAAGTTAGTGTTGGACCACAGAGTAGGAACTCTGCTGCAATCACAGAGACCTTTGCTAGGAACAAGAGGAGTGAAATCTCCTCACAGTGTTGTAGGCAAAGTGTCAGTGAGAGCAAGCCGAGAAGCGGTATGGCTTTTTTAAAATCAGTTTGAGCCTTGGCAACAGGAAAGACTTTTAAAATAATGATAACTTGCTATTAGTGTCAAAACTGTTATTAACACTAATTTACCTTATCACTGTTAGTTAGATATTGCTTTTAATGTTGACATTAAAAGTACAGGAATCATTATGGGCATGCTGGATTCCTCAATCAGTAATTTGCATACCATTAAAAGGCTATTATTATTTCACAAATAATTATAATACACTTTATACTAGCATCAATTTTCTAAAAGTAAGGGCCACGTAACCCACAAAAACCTGCCCATTTGTGAAAAAGGTCAAAATGTCACTTTTCAAATGTCAAGATGTCTGTAATTCCTTGGCAATTTTGCCCACCTGTGCAATCCCCTGCCTGGACTTTTTCTGTGAGAGTATCATAGAAGGGTCAGAAACAACCATTAACCTGGCATGAAACTTTTGTTCTGGCGTGAGAGAGGACCACCACGCAGCCCGGCATGGCAGAGAGAACCTCTCAGAGATGTACAAGCAGGCAGCTGCACTTCAGGTCAGCAGAGAGAAAGCAAGGCTCACAGGGCAGGGTTTCCGTGCTAGTCTCCCTCAGAAGTGTCCCTTCAGACAAGCTGTCCCTTCAAAGGGACGCCTTCCCTCTGCTCAGTATGCAGAGTCGGGGATAGTCACACTGGGAAAGGGCTGCATCACCTCAGACATCAGCGGGCACTCAGATAAATCTTGCAGGTTGCAACTAGAACCCAGGGAGGGTGTTTAGACCACACCATGCATCTGCAGCCTAGATCTGAGCACAGCCTTGAAAGAATCAGCAGCTCAAAAGCAGCCATCCTTCGTAATGCCCAGCTGGCACTTGTTTTGTAAAGCAAAGGACTATCAACATCTAGGCAATAAAATTCAGAAACAGGCAGAACAGTTTTGCCCAGTAGCAAGTTTGCCAAAAGGAAAGCGTTATCTCCCTAAACTGGTTGGGGGTACCTGAACTCGCTTGAACCAAGGCTTTGAAATTATTTTCCCACCTCTGGTAAAGGTCCAGAGCACACCCAGCCTCATCTAACCCTCTGGCACTTCAAGGAAGCCATTAACACTTATTCTACTTCTTCAGCACCCAACAGCCCGAGGAGCAGTCCCCATTAGGAAGACTTTGCCTGCGAAGGGCATGACTTACCAACCCTGCTAGAGCACAGCTGGAGGGGAAGAGTCATTCTGGAAGCAGGTGACTTAAACCACCCACCTCCTCCTCCTGCAGCAGCACAGGTTTTAGCCAGCGACCTGGTGCTTACAGCACTAATGCAGGAGACAATTTGGACTGGCCAGGCACTTACCCTGCTGAAGCCGTGAGTGCAGCAGCTTGCTCAGGCAACAAACTCTTTGCTGACAGAAAAGCAGGTGTCCTACAGCCTAGCTAAGGGCCTTAGCAAGAAGGTGGGATTCTCCTTTCCATCCCTGGCCCGTGCGGCCCGAGGTACAGTCAAGTACCCCCTGCCACGCAGGTTACCAGCCAAGCTGGGCCACTTCGATCTCCCCTGTGAAGCCCCACAACATCACTGAGCTTTCTGAAGTGGCTGGTAAGGTGCCAGGGGCAGGAAGGAGTCAAAATGTTTTGCTTGGCTAGGAAAAAGAGATCTCATATCAAACATCATTTTTTTTGTTGGGGGTTACCTTCAGCAAGAGGATGAAACAGACTAAGTCAAGCCAACAAAACCTCAATTCCTGTGATCGAAAGAGAAATTTTGCACTCCTACCACTGAATTTCAGCAGGCTCCGGGGCTCTGCCAGCCCTGGTGACATCCTCACGGCTCTCCACAGCAGAAAACTTCCCCCATCCAAATGCTGCCTGGCACCATTTATCAGGAGCAACCACCATCTGCTAACTACTGAGATTTGAGGAAGCCTTGACTATTTTAGACCTAGCAGTAGTGCAGGGTAGGTTACGTGCTGTGGGTCTTTACGCATGAGAGCGTTGCTAAGTGTGGCTCCAGGCAGGAACTGTTCTGTCATTCTGCACTGCAGCGACATCCAGCCTCTAAAACCAAGTTAATAAAGGCCAATGTGATAAAGATGTAAGTTGGGTGAGAGAGCTGACAGGGTAACAGTTAAATTTGGTATTTGTGCTCAATCATTAACCCCCAGGATTAACAAACACCAGAAACCTGATGAGAAAACCTAGTATCTGCCCCTCCGCTGGCAGGGAATACTGAGTTTCAAAGAGGGGGAGGAAGAGCAAGATGGGCAGCCACACACTCCTTAGCTGGGAGGAAGGTCATCACAGAGCAGAGTTGCTGCAGGGGGAAGGGGAGGAAGAAAACAAAAACTCAAGCTGAGAAACTCTGTGGACTGCAGCTGCCCAAGCAAGCAAACCCAGAATATGTTCTGAAAAATTGTATTTTACTCTCAGACCCAAGCAGCAAACTTAACTTTGTCTGGGCTGGCTCTTCCATTCCAGCCGAGCATCACCTACGATCCGACTCCCGGTGCTCCAGCCAAGGTTGAGACTTCTTGTTCCCCATCCCCAGGAGGAGCAGCGAGGCACTCGCATTTGGCGTTTTCCACAGGAAGCCCGCAGCAGCCACGCAGCACATGCCAGATCTCCCGTAACCCAGCCCAGCAGCCTAATGCGAGGCCACGCAGGCACTAACAAGTTGCAGCATTTGCCTTAGTGTAGCAGATTGCTTGACCGAAAAGGTGGTCTCTTCCACTCCAGCAGCTCTGGCAGGCCTCTGCTCAGCTTTACAAAGCAAAAAATGACAATAAAGCCCAAAGCAGAACATAGAGCCTGCACGTGTTTCTTTTATCAACACAGACACCCCAATTCTGACATTCCCATCCCCAATTTAAGGGTTTGGGTGGTGCCTGCTCCAGGTAGCTGGGGAAGTGGCTGCATCCCTCCAGAAGGGAAGGAGGAAAAAAGTCTGGGCCAGCCAAGAAGCTCAGGAGGAAACAGGTAGTCTCTCTGAGCATGCTAAAAAGAAAAGGTCCTGGGAATAAGGAATGTTGGGAATTCAGGCAGAAAACTGACTTTTTGAGACAGAGTGTGACCAACACGTACAAGAAATCCCAAGGGAGTTCTGCCTAGCTGGCACAGGGCAACACACACAGTAATCTCACACTAGGGGTATCCCATCTAAGAAAAAAAACCTTGTCACATAAAAAAACAGGTTATTATGTGCACAGCAGAAGAGGCAAAGGCTAAGTGTGGGCTGAACTGGCCGTGCTTCAGAGCAGAAGCCTATCCTCTGTCTCCCTGCTCTCTCCCAGGCGAGAAGCACAGCGCAGCACAGCCCCTGCCTGCCCACAGACATACCTTCCCCCTCTGTGCGTTACTCAAAGAGCATCTTTTCACTTTGCTTTTGCAGAAGCAGATGTTCCAGGAACGAAGCGGCCGAATGCTCCAGGCTTTTTCTCCCCGGCAGAGCCCCAACAGCAGTCCTACGCGAGGCCGTTCTCCGTCCCGTTCTCCATCTCCGCCCTGGGTCTTCAATAAAGCCTCCCCTCCCTCTTCTCCAAAAGCTGCCTCTGCCTCCCTCAGCAGCATGAGCGAGGGAGATGAGGATGAAAAGTAAAATATATATTTTTTTAACCATGAGACAGAAGAACAAGCTGTGAACTCAACCGCTGGATGGGGAGAAGCGTGAGGAACAGCTGGGCTATCTCTGACAGCAGGGAACGTGCTCTGGGAGAAGATGCTGAAACCAGACTGGAGCACAGCAAGGGAGATCTCAGGAAGAGCTTATCCCATCCCCGTTCCCTCACGGTGCCCAGAGGCCCTGCCAGCAGCGCTTACCAGACATGGTAGCGGGGACCGACAGAAAAACATACACCTTTGTGCAAGTTCCTCTCCATGTCTTGCTGCTTACAGCTGCTGGGGCCAGGCCGGCTCGGCGGGGAACTCTGCACCGAGCGGGACCGGCAGGAGAAGCCCTGTCGGCTCCTGATCCGGACCTGGCACACAGGCAACGCGAAGGCCGTGGCCCGTGGATGGAGAAGATGCAGTTGTACCGGACCCTGCTAACCTTGAGCTCTTCTGGCACGTGAAGAAATGGCATTGCTGCAGCAAATACATTTAGAAACGGGAAATAAAATTTTACTTTTTTTCTTTTTGAATGAAATCTGCCCCAGACCCCAAACCATGCCAGCGAAATGGAGAGCTCTCCAGCTGAGTTGGTGGAAATCCATTTAATATATTCAAGCTGTTGAATGCTGCTTGTTGACCAAGCCTCTCTACGGGGTGTATGTAAAGAGTCAGGCTGCATTTGCTTTATCAAATTGCTCTCCATGTTCCTAGTGCCTGAACAGCTACCCCATAACTTCTGTTTTGCTCCCTGGCTTTGCACTTTGGAGGAAAGAAGATAAATGAAAAGACAGCCCTAGCTGGAATGTGGTGTTATAGGAAACAGATAGTTTTAAGACATTGGTGATTTTTACTGGTGAATTCTAAAAACCACAGGTAGGATCCCAAGGCCTGGGGACCTGGCCTCCTAGGAAACCCTGCTGCTCCCAGCTACATCTCCCCAGATGACAAGCACAACAGTGCTGCTGTCCTCACATGCTACTCAGCCAGTTAAACTCCTCATCAAGCTCTAACCAAGACATGTTCACAGACACCCTGCTGCTGCAGGGGTCCCGAGGCCATTCCTCTACCCTAACATGGAGAAAAAGTTGGAAAAAACAATGGAGACCTTTTAAACAGGATTAGGCATGGGGATTTTCCTTCTCCGTCCATGACACCCATACAGCCCCAAGCAGAAAGGGTAGCACGAGTGAAGCTTTCCCCTCCGCTCGATGCCCTAGCTGATCTCCTTCCAGCTTGGCAAAGGTAAACGTAAAGACTGCGGGCAGGGGGTTGCAGCAGCAAAATCGCTGCTGTGCCACTGCTGCCTGGAGTTGCAAACCCATCAGGACACACAGGCTGCTGCAGGCTGGTTCCCTGCACAGGCAGCCCAGGAAACGCTGGGAGAGGGAGAGCTCCGAGTGGCTCTTAGAAAAGAACCGAAGGAAGATGCCCGAGTGCCTGAGCACACGGGACAGTGTGCTGGCAGCAGTCCCCTCACCCCAGGCTACAGTCCTCACCTTGCCGAGTGACCTAGTAGGTCAACTCCTTTCACTCCTTCCCTTCCAGATCCCTTTGCAGGCAGGTAAATTACAGATCCTTGTACCAGGAACCACATTAGCCCCTCACTCCGTTCATTCCCTACAGCTTTCGTCCATCCCCTGCTACGGGGTAACCGATTTTTCTTTGGCAACATTTTGCCAGACACTTCTCGGACTACCGCAGGACCGAGTACACTTTGCTTTGTCCTCTGGAGTCAAGCTAGTTCCTTCTTCACAGAGCCGCAAAAAGAGGAGCAGGGAATAGGGTGGAAAGCGCAAAGGGAGAGCCACAGCTAGTTCAGCTGCCACCAGCTGTGTGCCCGACAGGATGATGCAATTAAGACCTTTCTCAGCCTTAGGCAACCTGTTACTGTAATTTCATACCTGGGATGCACTTGTTAGTTTTTCTGAACCTTTGCAAGTCTTAAGTCTTCCCATCACAAACCACTCCTCCACCACGGGAACTGTCTGCTCTCTACTGGTGCTGTTTCTATGACGAGCCATGTCCAAATGCAATGGAGGTGGGCAGGTTTTTGTTGTTCTGGGCTTTTACCATTTGTTTTTTTGTTTTAATTTCATAGCACTTACTGTTCAGCAGCCCTTGTTCAGTGGTTTGAGTGGAAGACAGCACCATGACTTGTAAATAGGAACTGGAGAAAAACTCACCAGTGACCTCTTCTTAACAGAAGCTGTTTTCTCAGAGTCACAGGTGGCTACCCAGCGACAAAGCCATATACTGTACCAGGCATCCGTTTGCATTTAGGATATCAATAAGCTGAAGCCTTTGCCCTGCTGGTACAGACAGTAATATCCACGTGCTGTCTCCAGCAAACCAGAACCTTATCGTCTCTGGACACGTGGAGGGCAATTTTGCACTTCTGAGTCATGGTTGGGTTTTATTTTTCATGAGTGTTGCTTTAATTCAGTCCTATTTATCAGCCAAGCTCCACATGAAAAATAAACAGTGTACAACACATACTTCTGCCTCTCACCTTCATTTTATAGCACCTTTGGACACAAAACCACAACCCCCTCTGTAAGCCCCACTGATAGCACAGTACTCATTATCCCCACCCTTTGTACCCCAGGGCTTTATACCCCCCTCAATGCCACCAGAGCAGCTTTGCCAAAACCTGCCCCCAATCCTGCTGCTTGAGTTGATACTGCTGCTCTCCACCCCGACGGATAACCTCTCTCCTCACCTTCACCCGCATTTTTCTGGCTGCAAGGTAAAGGTGGGGAAATGCTGCCTCTGAGGCACCAGCACGTCCGAGACCTCCCTCACCCTCAGCCCCAGTGCAGTGGGATCCGGAGCCACTATTTTAATTCTTACTTCTAAGTGGAAGAAAGAGGCAGTGCTTTTGCAGCCATCCCGGTTCTGCTTCTGAAAACCATCCCCAGCAGCAGCTATGACGCTCTTGTGTGCGCCAAGGCGGTGAGCAGCTGTGCCAGATTTATGGGAAACTGCAGCAGCAAACCTGAGCTGCAGGGGCAAATCCTGACACTGGCCTTTCGATTTGACTCTTCCTCCAGCTAAGTCAGTCTGATGCCTGAATGTTCCCACTTCGCTCTTCCCCTTTTGTTCTTTCTGTAAGAAAGAAGTTGTTACTGCAGCAGCTGTAGGAAAGATTGTTTATTGAACAGTCCTGCCTCAAGCAGGGGGAAGCTGAACCAGCAGATGGGGGCTTAGAACTTCCCAGTTAAGATATTTTTAATCACAGAATAAGCAAATTTCAAAGTCATTCAGTGCGGCAGAGAAACTAAAAGCACAGAGTCTACACCAAAACGCTCCCTGGTCTAATACAAGCTTTATTACTCAAGATGGATTTGGGGCCGTTTTGAGCAGTGCCTTGCATCACTCGGGAGACAGACAAGACATCCTTGTATGCTCCCAGGAGTGGGGAAAGTCAGCCCGGCTGCAGTCCCACTTCTCTTCTGCCACCGAGCCGCCTCCGCAGCCCCATGGAGAGGGACCGGCTCCTACCGACACCTGCCCCACCGCCTCACTGCCATTTGGGTGCCAGTTCCGCGCAGGCATACGCCTGCGCTGCCGACAGTGCTCTGGGAAGGGACAACGGGGACCCTTGTTCACGTGGACCTGATCGAAATCCAGGGATAACGCGAGCCATCACCGAGTCGGGCCTTCCCAGGCAAGGTGACACAAAGCAAGAGCTGCAGCACCCTGCGGCAGCTTCTCCCTCTCTACTGCAAACAAGTACCGTGTTAGATTCGGAACAAACTTTAAATCCAGCGGTACTAACTGCAAAGCATTTTCAATTTTGTAACTGGTATTTCATTGCACCGTAGGAACCCTGGAAACACTAGCGAGGAGCATGACTGGAGGTGGTTGGAGAGTCCCCGCTGTGAATTGATATGAGCTCATATACAACAGGTAGGAGAACGTTTGAAATATGACTGAAGAAGCAGAGACAATTTTCTGCAGTACAAGGCAGAGTTCTTGTGCCAGCGCTTGTGAGACGTCTACAGTATTTCCTTAAATTCTTCCATCAGTTAGGCATGAAATACAACATTGTGTAAGCTCGCTCACAGGGATGATTGAGCTCAAAGGGCTCAAGAAAGATAAGTCACACATTTAAAAAAAGAGATTATAATTTTGTGTGTATATTAAAAATTATTCCCAAATACTGTAGGGATGCAATTCTCAAGAGAAAAAATATTTAGAATAGCACAAAGCAGTGCTGACAGCTGGAAGCTGGACAAAGTTAACAGCAGGAAACAGGCATTTCAAATAAAGCTACAGGAAAACTGCAGAGGAATCCTGACTTCCTAAGAGGACCAGCTCAGAGCTGGGACCATTTATCAAGGATACGGCTGTAATAAATCCCTAGCATTGCCCATTCTGCTTTCTCCCGAATGCTGCTGCTCTCCTTATCCGCATCGCTTTCCCTTTTACATCTGCAAGTCATCCCTCTGGAAATTATGCTATTCACTTCCACCTTCTCTGCCCCTGAAAAGGCAGAGGTGATTTTGGCCTGGAGGCAGGACAGGCTTCACGCCTTGCTCAGCTAGTGGCCACAGACATTGGCTACAAGAGTGACTACGAGACCACTGTAAAACAGCTCGAGTCCAGCATCAGTGCCAGATCCTTGACCTCCTTCCCCACACCAAAGCCTTCGCTAAAACAAGGAGAAGCTTTTTGAATTCCCGTCGGCACGCGATGTTGCTTCCTCAACCCCGATGCCTTGCTTTTCCACTCTAAAGTCTCGGGAAGAATGACTTCTGCCAACGGAAGCCGTCTGGTGGGTCCCCAGCGATGCGTCCCCGTGGTCAGACCAGCCCGAGGTCAGATGAAATTCTGGTTTTGGCAAACCCCCTCGGGAACAAGAAGGTCCCCTGCATCAATACCAGGCCTATCAACTCAGCTCAGCAGGAAAAAGAGGTTTGACACTACATCAATTTGCTTGTAAAAAAAAAAGTGTAATAATAAACCACCATGGGAAAAGTCCTATATGATAGCACATAATTAAGCAGCAGTTTCACTCGCACCTGGTGCAGACAACCTCCAACCTCCTAAAACAGAGCTGAAATCAGACCTAGGGCTTTGCCTCTTGCTGGAGACCCTTTCAGGCAGCAGGCTGTCTTAAGAACTCCTATTCTGATCTTATTTTGAAGAGAGATTTTTCCCCCCCCTCTCAAAATACAATGCATGTTCCCCAAGCACGCGCATACAGATATTTTCTGCCCTTCTCTTTCCGAAGGGAAGGCCCTTTCCTGGTGTGTGCAAGGAAGAGCTGCATTAGCATTTCTAATCCAAATGGAAATCAAGGCCACTGCCTCCCAGCTCCACCTGAGGGAGAGGAGACAGATGCAGAACAAAATAAAAATAGCTAAAAGCCTTTGGAAATGCATCTTCGCCATGCTAACTGGGGAACGTGGGACTGAGAGCCCAGCAACAGCTGAGGCTCTTCCTATGACAAGTCACTCTGCCGTATCTCCCAGCTGCATGCAGCAGCTCCCGTGTTAAAACCAGTTCCTCAAATAAGAGGCCTGAATCCCCCTTGCCCCAGCAGTTATTCATGGCCAGTTTATGGCTGGGCCAGTACCTTTCTTCAGTTCAAACAGTTCTTTCACACTTGGTATCTCCATCCCTTTTTAGATATTCTCTCCAAAAGCATCAATCCTTCCTTCAGGGAGAAACAGTGAACTGCAAGTTCATAAGCTAAGTAAGGCAGGTTTGCCTTTCACACAAACACAAGAGCCTGCTCTGTACAGCGGAGTATGGCAAAATATAATCTGAAAACAGGC